TCCACCTCATGGTCAGATTATGCCTGTCACGTGGACATGCATTTGTATCTCAAGTGAAATAAATCTGCCACCGCTGTTTGTGTGGTAAACTTGGTTCAGCTTTACATTGAATTTGTTTCAAATATTCCAGGATCAAAGACAACTGGTCAATACCTTCTTTCTATGCTTCAGTTAGCAATAGCAAGTGGGCATCCTGATGAGTTTTGTTTTTTTTTAAAAAAAAAGGAAACACAAAAAAGAAAAAAGATATTTTTGTAATATTTAAATTCTGTACTGAAATTCTTCTCTCTCCTCCCCCCTCTCCCCATTGGCTTAGCCATGCCTTGGCACTGTCTAAATGCCAGCCTGAATTAAAAATGGCTTTTTCTTTTTTTTTTTTTTTTTTAACAAATTTGAACTTGAGACTTTTATATGTACAAATCAATGACTTTTCTTGTGCTTTAAAAGGGTATTAGAACTATCACTGGCTCCTAATTTTGTTTTAATGGAGGCTGTATATAAGTTTAATGCTAACCCAGAGGACAGACTGTTGGGTGGGGAGAGGGAAGTGACGCAGGGAAATGAGGAGGTGAATGCTTGTGAATATGTAGCGCACAGCTATACCTTTATTATGGATTTTTAATCTCTCAGTGGCAGAACAAGGACAGCTATTTGCTCAGCTAATGGAAGCTGAAGTGGTGCAAACACATTTTTAAAAGCAAAACAAGGTAAAGGTTTGAGCCATTCACCACTATAATGTACAATAATATATTTGTCTATAAATGGAGCTGTTGCAACTAAATACCACCCTCTTTGTAAAGTGAATAAATATACATCTCCTTTACCAAATACCTGTCCTGTGGTGTTTGTTGAAAGAGGCCTTACCTAGCTACAGGTGGTGGTTAACGATGAAATGCACGTACAAAGCAGATGTCTAGTGGAGGAGGAATCCACCCTAAAGATTACAAAATTCTGCAAAGCATCTATTGCTACTGATTCCCTGTCTCCCTGCCTTTTAGTCTTGTCCATTGGTTTGTCCACTGCTTGGATTGCATTGGGGGTTGTTGTGGTTTAACCCAAGCAGCAGCCAAGAACCACGCAGCCACTCACTCACTCCCCCACCCACGGGATGGGGGAGTGAATTAAAAGGGTAAAAGCTACAAAAACTCATTGGTTGAGATAAAGACAGTTTAATAGAGAGAGCAAAAGCTGCACACACAAGCAAAGCAAAACAAGGAATTAATTCACTGCTTCCCAAAGACAGGAGGTGTTTAGCCATCTCCAGGAGAGCAGGGCCCATCACACGTAATGGTTCCTTGGGAAGACAAACACCATCACTCCAGATGTCCCCCCTTCCTCCTTCTTCCTCCCACCTTATATACTGAGCATGATGCCATATGGTATGGAATATCCCTTTGGTCAGTTTGGATCACCTGTTCCAGCTGTGTCTCCTCCCAGTCTCCCATGCATCCCCAACTTCCTTGCCAGTGTGGCAGTACGGAAAGCAGCAAAGACCTTGGCTCTGTGTAAGCTCTGCTCAGCAATAACAAAAACATCTCTGCGTTATCGACTTTGTGTTCTGCACAAAACCCAAACATAGCCCCATACTAGCCTCTGTGAAGAAAGTTCTGTACTCCAGCTCAAACCAGCACAGGGTTGCAGCATTGTCTGGACGTGCAGGTGACTGTGTCATGGACAAAGCTAGAAGAGATGGTCTGTCTTCAGAGAGCTGGAGGTAAAAGGGCAGCAGGTGGAGGCTTCTGGTCTTGGGAGGGTTTTAACTGACAGAAAATTAGTGTCTTAATGCTTTATAAAGTTGGGCTTTTTTTCAGCTCTGAGATGTTGTGAAAATTAGTGCCAGCACTTGCACACTGTACTCAAGCCACCAAATTAGGCTGAGCTGATGTGTTGATTTTTAAGCAGTCCTGATGCTACGTGTGCAGGCAGGCCAAAGAGGAGTGTGAGTAAAGATCTGCTCTATCTCAGGTGAGTGCTGATGAGCTTTTGAGGTGTGCAGTAACACAGGCAGCCAGCTGTGTTTAGGTTGTGCTGTGTCCTACATTTATCTGCATCCCAGTCTGTCTAAAAGTTGAAGCAGAAGCCCTGGTTTGGGGTCTGGGAGCAGGTGGAGTAACTTGTTGGCACTGTTTAGGTATGGGGAGTGGTGGCATTGGAAACTTGCCACCACTCCACATTGCACCTGTAAGGTAAGCATTGCCTCTGTTCATCGTTCCTGTGCACCAGAAAACTGTTCTGGGAGTGATGCTGTGGGAGAACCTGGCAGCAGGAAGAGCAGGGGGATCTCAAGAACATTTTGATCATTCTTTGTTCATGCAGACATGCAGATTCTGCAAATCTGTTTCAGTTCCAGACAGCCAGGTGGCAGCAGGGCTGTGAATTCTGGTCTCCTACTTTGGGATTAGAACAGCCTGGTCACACTGTCCTCAGTTCTCTGTCTGCATCACTTTCAAGCAGCTGTTTGTGTGAAACTGTGTGGGTATGACAGCTGCAAGCAATTGGGCTCATTGGTCAAAAATTTCCCTTGTCTTAGAGCTGGTAACTGACAATTGTGTGTGCTCCGATCCTTACAACTATTGATCTGCAAAGCCACGGTCTCTGCTGGTGACTGCATTCTTTGTGTCCATGTCTTTCAAAGATGCAGCATTGTCTGGAGACAGAGGCTGGAAATGGGGTAGGTCCTCCCTTCCAGCACTAATTGTGGAGCAGTGGAGTGAGGACAGACCTGCTGCTCATTTGGAGCAGTGGTGGTTGGATGAGAACTCGTGAGGAATCCAGGGTATGTCCAGTGCAAACCTCCACAGTTAAGCAGCCGGCAAATCCATGGGGTGGAAACTCTAAGGTGTACTTCTGGTTTGATTTGCCCAACTAGTGTCATGTCCCATTTATAGGTGTGTATTTAACATCTGTCCAGGCCTATGCAGGGTCTATGGAGTTTCTGTTCACTGTTTTTCATGTGGTGTCTATTTCCCCTGGTTAGAGAAGTATGTAAACAGACTGTGATAAGGAGCACTATCACAGATGGCCAGTGGGTGCCAGAGCAGCTCCACCAAATGCCTTGCATGACCAGGAAAGCAAGAGCAACCTGTGTCTTATGCCGTTGAGGATGGAGTAATCACATTGCTGCTGAATGTATTCTGCCGTAAGGTGATGTGGCTCACGTTCTTGTCTTGTTATGGTCCTGATTCCAAAGGAGCTTGGTGCTACCCCAGGACTTGTAGCAAAAAGTGCTTATTGCCTCACTTGCTAAATATTTCAGTGTTTCATCTGATTTTTGCAAGTTTTGTAGGGGAATAAGAGCTGCCTGTGTGGGATGTGCACCTGTGTAAGGACTTGGAGTACAGATGTTTTTCTTTTGTCATTCCTTCATGAAATGTGAAGTGATTTAATTGGTTTAAAAAATAAACCCCCATTTTTGTGTTTAACTTGCTAATGGCTTCTCTGTCCTAAAATAAGTATCTCAAGGACCTTGTTTAAATAAAATTTAAAAAAAAAAAACAAAAGGAAAATGTGTTGTAGGAGAGGAGGAGGATGACATGGAAAGGAAGAAAAGAGGAAAGATTTAGGGTGCACAACTAGGCCTTAGTACCTGATTACTGACAATATCAGCATGTAGACATTTGAGAAATGCAGATGAAAATGATGGAGATTGCTTACAGCTTGATAGCCAAGTTGTAGTTTGGGCTGTCTTGCAATGGAACAACAGCTTGGTACTGTATTCACCCTTCTTTGCATGGAAGAGAACTATTTGGTGATAAGGAAAACTCACTCTGTGCACAGTCCTGCCCTTTGATCCTTTGACCACTTCATGGACCAAGATTAAGCCTCCTAGAAACTAATCCATGGCCTTTAGGATGTAGGTTCCCTGGAAGGAGAGGACTGGATGGAGAGGCTTGTGTCAGACACTCTTTTCTTGGACGTGTGTCCAAGCTCACAGCTGTGGGACCTTGATGAACCATCCAGGAGACTCTCTGCTTCCATGGTTTGTAGGAAAGACAGATATTTTGTGAGTTTATTTATGGTGGGTGGCTCAAAATTTCAGTTTGCTTTAAAGAGCAGTATGACTGACCCTGGAAAGAAAAATTACTGCTACATTTCCAGTTTGCTAAAAGTGGGTGACTGCTACTTCAGCTGGTTGCCCACTGTCCATAACCTTCAGGTTAGGGGGTGGGGTTGAGATAACTCTTGCAGTCTCCCTTCTGGCATGTTGGTCCCTAAGCTCTCTGACTGAGTGTGCAGAGCACCTGGAGTCACCAGGAGGGCTGCTGGAGCTGTGGCTTGGAGGTGATCTTGTAGAGCAGGTAGTGTATAATATTAAGTTATGATGCTTCAGCTTTGATGTTGTGACAGCTGTGGTGTTTTTCAGTTCATTGAAACATCTGTAAGAGCTTGTTTTGGACTGGAGAGAGTGATCCACTTGCTGTTGGGATTGCAGAAATAACATGGGAAGCCACTGTATTCAAGTGGTGGAAATAACTTGCCAAAATGAGTTTGGTTGTTCCCAACATTGTTTTTGATTTAACTGCTGCCTGAAACATAGTATCCTTTTTGGATCTGTTGTCCAAAACTACCTTATAAGGTACCCAACCCATGTAAAATCAAGGAGATTAATAAAGCAAATCCTGTTTGGAAAAGAGCCTGGGCATCTGCATGAAGAAAATTTGGTCCAGGTACCTTCATCTCTGCTTCTGTTTTGGCTGCAAGATAGAAAATTGCTCAGCAAGGAGGTAGGAGAGACAATTAAGAATTATGTGAGTGAATCTAGGAGGGGAGGTGAAATTATGGAGCCTATCCAGAGCTCTTCTAATCACAGAGATGGGGTTAACTAGGCTCATTAACTTGGCTCAGTAATGAGTGCTTATAAGTTATTTAGGAATAACTTAAGGAATTAATGGTGCATTTTGTCTTTGAGGAGAATATATTTCCCTTAAGCTCCACAGGGGCTTGGAGGGGAGAGGACATTGTCTCTAGGTTCCTCCTGTAATG